CTGTAGCACATGGATCTGGAGGTTACTGGCACCTTGTTGTTGTTGGTACCTTGATGATTTTAATGTTTGATTTTGTACCTGAGAATGTGTGTTTTCCTTAGATATGTGTTCATCTTTATTTCATAAGATGCTTTGAATACTTTCTTGCAGAAAAGTGAGGTTGAAATAATAGATTGTGACAGGGCATGTTTCAGGAGATTGGGCTCAAAACGATGTGTTTATAATGGTTCCTTTTTGTTGGAACTGGAAGTGCCTGCAAAAAATGAAGTGTTATAGTTCTTGCACAGAAAGCTATCACTATTAATAATAGCTTTCTGAGGTGGCTGTTGGTAGTGAAATATTTTCTTATGTCATATAAGACTGCCAAAAAGCATTATCAAGAAGGTTAGTTTGCTAGTTTGTTCACCTTCCTATCACCTCTGGCTAGAGCAGCAATTGTCCTGAACATGGATATTTTCCCCAGATCCTGAATCCAGCTTTCAAATCCTGATCAAGCAAGACTGTAGTGATTCTAAACTGGGTCATGCCATGTACTTCTTATCTAGCTTTATAACCCACTTTGTCCCAGGGGAGAACAGATAAAAAGAGGCAATATTCTTGTAACTATTCTGTGATAATGCATGTCATCCACTTCTTCTGGGTGTGGTGTTGTTACTTCTCTGTTACATCACTAATATTAGCTAACATATAGTATAAAGTTTTGTAATAATTAAACGGGGGGGCCAGGACTCCCCTAAAAAGTTCTTCACTGCTCTGAATAGCAATACGCCAGAATATTTCATCAAACAAAGGAAATACAAATAGCTGCATGAGTGGCATTAGGACAGGTGATCCAGGTGTCTTAGGACATTTTAACTAGCAACACATGCTTTTTACTTGTTTAAAAGTATCCCAGTGATTCTACTCACTGTGTAGGAGGCAAGCCAGTATCGCTGGCCAAAGACCCCCACCTGGCCAAAGAGGTGGCGATAGCAGCACTGTCTGATTCAAGAATTACTAATGTGAAACATTTTGATTTCTTAGGGAAAGTGCAATACACAATCTTAGTAGCAGCAATTGTTGTCTTCTTATTCTAGGGCTTCCAAATTAAAAAGGTATGTGATGTCTGTATGTGTTAATTAGACTGTTCTTAAATAGCTGACTGAAATTGACATCTAATATATCCCTGTGTCTTCACTCCCTTCCTTGTCTTCAGATCAAACAAATCGTATGTGAATGTAGACTCTCTTCTTCTTTGTAAAACAGACCTTGTTTTCAGTTATTTATCCCTTTTTGGAGATGAGATTTTTCTATTTTGTAAAGATACTTGATAGCATAATGCACAGATCTTGCCTTTTTAACCTGTGGAGAGTATAACAAGGATAACAATGGTTTTCATAGACATATAGAAAACTAGTTTTCTACACACAGGGATTGTGCTTTGTTTGGAGGAGGATGAGTGCATGTAAGCCGGCAGTGCTACAGCTCAGTTTCCCACCCTGGTGAAAGCTAGGCCTAGGTTTCTTGGGGTCGCTTTTTGTTCAAATGAAAACAATGGTTTTCACTTAAACAACAACAGCAGTTGCTAACATCAACATTGAGTTTGCCTTTGAACAGCTACTGCCGAGGTGCTTTGGTTTTATGACAGAGAGATAATTCACATGACCAGGTCGCTCATCCTACTTTGAGGACTTAGTGAGACAACTTCCAACAGCTAAACGCTGATCTTTTGTGCTGGTGGTGCAGGTCTAAACTTACTCTAAACATTCAAGTGACGCTGGGATAGTTTGCACTGCCAAATTAAGAGCTGCCATTCAAAACCAAAGCCGTGAGTAGGTTTGCTCACAAAAATGGGGAGTCCAGTAGATCATTCCTTTGGTGATGATATCCTCAAGGAGGGTATTTTGCAAGAGGCCGACTTGTCAGGTTTTTCCACCCTTTCCTGACACTTTAGCTGCCCAGGAAAGAGGAAAAGTGCATGTCACCCACTTTTTTGGGAACATGGAGGTTTGACAGCCGGCTGTCAAAACTCCAGTTCCTTTCAAATGAGGTTCTTTGACAAGGTAGTCAGGTTTTTTTTTTCTTTTGACAGGGACATAGGTATGCATGTTCCTTCTGTCCTTAGGAAAAAACCAAGGATAGCCCTGTCAAAATTAACAACAAAACTTTTAAGATTAACTGGAGTTCTGACCAAAAAAGGGGTATTGATGGCTGCTTTGCAGCCATCACTACTGGATATGGTCCAAAACTTTTTGATGTTTGAGATAAAAAAATTCAAATAGCATCTCCCATGAACAAAGTGGTTGACAGCTGGCTCTCTTTACTGTTATCCCCGGGACTTCTGCCTGAAGTGAGCACTGACTCGCTTTGGCTCATGGAGAGGATGGCCCTGGCCAAGGAGCTTTTTTCTTCCTCTCTCCCAAAGCTCCCCATGAATCTGCGAGGGAAGTTGGCCATAATGGGAGGGGGGGCATTCCCAGACAGACAGACAGACAGACACATGCACATGAATGGGTCTTGGCGTAATGTACAAGAGTATACTTGCTAATTTGAAAATTGTGGAGACCATGGAGACTTCCCTGCTATTCTTGCAAACCTTGCTGTATCCCTGTATTCACATGTAATTATGATGACATCAGTGAGGATGGAATTACCACAAACCCAGAAAATCGTTGTGATCTCTGCCAACAGCCTGCTTCTTCCTTGGCTTGCTGTCACAGCTGAAGAATAAGACATGGTGGGGCTAGTGACTGTCCTAAAAGGCTTCAGACTAGCTCTTATTTAGCAAATCAGAATACACTTTTGTTGGTTGGAGGCTAAGGTAGACATGGCCCTGGATATATCTAAACGGTTCACATGCCTGTTAGTTCTTTTAATCGCTGCTGGGGTAGCCTTGATCATGCAGCAGAGAGTGCTTTTCACACTTCCCTCCAAGCCATCATCCTGAAAGAGCTATTTGACTCCTAGAAAAACACCAATCTGGAAGTGGGGACATCATTTTCAGTGTGGCCGCAGAACAGGAAGAGGGTCTAATAACCCCCCTTCCTTGCGTGCTGTAGTCCCTGTACTCACTGGAAACCTCCCCACAGTTTCTATTTAAATAAGGTATCAGGCTGACATGCATTTAAGGCTGTGTCTCACTTGGCCCTGAAATACATCTCTGCCTTGTCTTTAATAGCGTACAAAAGAAATGCTGCATCCTGACTAGTGTAAGGATTGAAATCCATGTCAGGGATCACTCCTGGGTTTTCAGTGTGGGTGGGTAGACTCCAAAGAAAAGGACCCTGATGCTACGTAGCATCAACAAACATATAGCTTTATCTAGTTTAAAATTTTTGTACAGTTTCATCATTGTAGAAATCTTTTAATGCTAACATATCCTTACAACTTGTTTCCTTAAAAGCCTTTCTGCACTGAACAGTTTATAGTATGTAATGTTCCTGTATTAGCATCTCTGCTTGATCCAGAAATGTAAGCTGCTGTCTGACCATGAGAAAGGAAAGTATATCAAATATATGAAGGACATAACTTGGTTGGTTTCATCTCAGTCTTGGCCAAGTACACCATGGCATCTAGTTATAGGCAGTAAGTTATTATATTTCTAATTAAGTAGGATTTATTATCACAGAAAACTTACACATTGGTCTGTAAAAGGAAATGACACCGTATTTGTTGCTATATGGTAAGCAGTTTGGTAAAAAGCAGGAGAGATTAGGCCTGCAATCTGATGCATATTTGCTTGTTGGGTATTCTTACTGAACACCTGAAATAAAATGCATGTGCTTTTGGCCGCTGATAAATGATGCCGAGGTCGAGAACTCCTGATGTGGAGCTACTTCGTACTTTGTGCAGTTAATGTGTTTTTCTTCCCATGTCTAGGTATGGCATCTGTGACACATACACTTGAAAATTCCTCATGTATTGTTTTACAGATACATATTAAAGAGACTGTTTGTGAAACAGTCATTATAATATGGTACTGATGTACTCAAGATGCACAACTGTGTACTGTATATTGTAGTGTAAGTTCTATCTATACTGTGGTGTACTATTCAAAAATGTCAGACTGAGACTTAGGAAATCTGGGTTGTAGTCCCCACCTGGTGAGGAATGGATGCCTTTGGGCCAGTCATGGACTCTCACCTCAACCTACCTCACAGGGTTGTTGTTGTGGGGATAAGATTGAAAGCAGGAGGTAGAGAATTATATAAGCCGCTTTGAGTTCTTTAAAAAAGAAAAAAAGTGGGATATAAATCTCATAAACAAACAGATAGATAAACGTGGACCCAGAGACATTCTTTAAAAGTAGATTGTGTGCAGCTGGAGCATAGCACTCATGTTTAAAGATCTTCCAGGTGGCTGGAAAAAAACATGAAAGGAAGGATGACTTTTCATTGCCACTGCCTGGTAAGGGGGAAGTTTGGTGATGATGATGGAACAACCAGAGGAAGGGGAACAGGAAGTGGTGAGACTATGGCTGGAGGTAACCAAAAGTCGGTGGGCTACAGCATGCCAGAGGAAGTTCTGTTTGGCTGTGGGGAGACCTGAAAGAGCAAGGAGAAATCAGGCTGTGTGTGAGAGTGCACACGGGCAAGAGAGTTTGTGGGTGCCATGGTAAGAAGGTGGTCCAGAGAGACAGGGCTGAGTAGATGCCTAATGAAGGGGAGGTTTAGTGATGATAGTGAAGAAACCAGTGGAATCTGAGAAATGATAAAGAAGATGATCATATGGGTGCCAATGAATAGTTTTGTGTGCCAGGATTCAGCTCGCACTTCTGCCTTGTATTCATTCATTCATTCATTCATTCATAGCTTTTATAAATCGTCCCTATACTAGTGTCCCTTGTAGTCAGGTTCTGGAACAAGTTACTAGATTTTTAGCTTCACTGATTTACCTTTCTGTGAAATGGATGTTTAGAGACTGGTCACTCCCAACATGGCAACAATTTCGTGACAGTGCCCTTCTCAAAACTCCAGAAGAGTCAACTAGCCCAAAAAGAGTAGAGATCCCTGGAACAGACAGATGTTTATGTATTTATTTATTACATTTATAAACTCTGGGCTCTTTGGCTGGTGTACAATCCAAAACAAATATATAACAATAAAATTCATATGATAAAAGTTAATACAATAAAAATTCATAAAGTAAAGTACAATATACTCTGATAGATAACAGTCAATAAAATTCCCTCAGGAATAGCAGTGATAAAAATACAAAATATTCATTCAGCAATTCTTAAAATGTCTTGTGAATAAAAACGTCTTTACCTGGTGCCAAACAGGTGTAGTTCTTGGGGGAAGCATATTCCATAGATGGGGTACAACTACCAGAAAGGCCCTTCTCCTGTTTGCCACCCCCTCACCTCTTTAGGGGGTGGTTCCTAAGAAGGACCTCTGTAGCTGATCTTGGTGGCTGGGTAGGAACATATGGGACTAGGTGTTCCTTCAGGGATCCCGGTCCCAAGCCATTTAGGGTTTTATATGTCATAACAAGCACTTTAAATTGGGCCCAGAGCTCAACTGCTAGCCAATGTAGTTGGTAAGGAATTGGTGTAACATGGGCATGCAAGCCAGTTCATGTTAACAAATGCAATGCTCTATTCTGAACCAGCTGATATTATCAATCATGACACGATTTTCACAATTCTTGTTGACAATCAGAGTTAAGCCTGATTCAACACCCTCTTGAAAACCTAGGATGGGTGAGAATGGGTAATTGAACCCATACCAAGAATCAACAGGCACACTATTTTTTCTTGATGTTTCCCTCACAGAAGTTAGATTAGGATACACTTGTTAACAACTAGACTGAGACCCCAGTTTCTTACTGGCATTGTAGGTCTTCATAAGAATAACACTCAGCTTATATTTGAATGCCATACGTTGGTCTCAATTCAAATCCCTGTGAGACCATACTGTTTACATCCCTCCTTTGGGATGATGTATAATTCATAACTGTTATCTGTTTTCTGTTAACCAGTTCAATCAATAAGAGGCCCTCTCCTCTTTTTTTCTATGACTGCTAAGTTTGCTCAGGAGTCTGTGGCGAGAGGCTTTCTCAAAAGCACTTGAAAGCCCAAGTAAATGATGTCTACCAAATCATCTCCGTCCACATCTTTACTGACTGCCTCAAAGAAGTTTAAAAGATTAGTGAGACTTACATTTGCTAAACCCATGTTGATTCTTTTTTAGTACAGTTTGCCTTTCATATGCTCACTGATTTTATCTCTGGCAATGCCTTTGACTAGTATACCAGAAACATACATTCAGTTGACTGGCCTGTAATTTCCTTGATTCCCCCTGACATCTTTTTGCTAACTGGCATTACGTTGGCTGTTCCACAGTCCCCGGTACAGAGGTTAATCTGAGGCGTATGTTTCATATTTATGTTAGAAGTTCTACAATTTCATATTTGAGTTTTTTAAGAACTCTAGAATGGATAATATCTTGACTTGGGTAACATCCTGATTTATTAACATTCAGCTTATTAATAAAATTGAAAACTTAATTGTTTGTCACCATTGTTTGCCTCAGTTCCTCAGATGCTCTTCCTGAAAACATTACTTCAAGCACAGGTGTCCTACCTACATCCTCTGCAGGGAAAATAGATGAAAAGAATTCGGTTTCCCTACAGTCTCCTTATTCTTTCTTAGTGCTCCTTTAACTCCATTGTCATACAACAATCCAACTGCCACCCTAGCTGGTTTCCTTCTTTCAATATATTTAGAGTGTGATACTATGCATGGTGTGGAGAAGAAAGTTCTACAACAACCAGCAAGCTGGGAATGCTAGGAGTTGATGGACTTTTTTCTGTTTAAATATATAAAGGATTGCACCCTTAAAAGATTTCTTTATTGTTGACCTTCGTATTGATAAAAAAATAAGCTTCTCAAAACACTACTTTGCATTTTTACAGTCTGCTGCATCTCCTTCATGCAACTTTTTGTTTGCATGGTGACTCTTTTCTGTTCTCATTTGGGCAAGACTTCTGTTTTATGAAGAAAGCCTTCTTTTCTCCTTTCACTTCTTTCATAGACTTGTTAACTATGTTGATAACCATTTCGACTTAGTGCGACCTTTCCTAACCTGTGGAATCCATTCTGGCAGAGCTCCTGTTAACATGGCTGGAGTGACCTCCATGCGTTTCGAAGAGATTTAACCCTATTGCCCCTCCCTTTCAACTTCCTTTTTAATATTATGGACAATATTCCTCAATGGAAGTCAAATGCGATTGGGTTAGACTTCTTTGGCAATTTTCCACTTAAATCTGGTAACACTATGGTCACTATTTCTAACCGGTTCAGCAGCACTCGCATCTTGTACAAGGTCCTAGGCAGCACCAATCAGGAATAAATCCAGGATCACCTCCCCTCTCTTTGATTCCATGAAAAAATCTGATCAGTTCCAAGACCATTCTTCTTGAAAGACACACCCATTCTCTATTAACATAGGAAACATGAGTACACAACATTCAGTAAATATAAACTATAAATGCAGCGACTTTTTATTGTTTTGTGGCTTTTGAGACATAAAGAATGCCTGATGGATCACCACAGTATTAATTTGTTCCAGCAGTTTTTTTTTTTTCTTTTTCTTTTCCAAATAACAAAAGCAAGCCAGATGGCTTTGGGAACTTCTAAGAATAAAGTGAACATGATGTGTGGTCTCTCTCTAATATTTTGTATTCAGCAGTAAACTACCAACATAAATGGAGGTCCAACTATCATGTTCCTAGTCACATTAAGAGAGAATAGGTCTAATTTACTTGTAAAACCATCTAATTGCAACTGCTTAATGTGGTGGAGTTCCAGTTTAGAGAAATGTCTCCTTATTCACCCCTTCCTATGTTTATAAACTTCTTTCGTATGTGCACATTGATCACCTTCACCCTCCCCACAAAAAAACCTGAGACGTTGGAACAGCTTTGACATTTTATAGAAAGTTTCTTCAATGCCTCGATCATTTCCGTTGCCCTTTTATAGAGAGTCAGTGCAGCCTTCTAACAAGCCTTATGACAGCTGTGTTTTACTTATGGGAGTAACCGAACTAAGACAATCTTGTGCACGCTTAGACAGGGGGAAAAAAAGGCCTACAACTCCCAGCATCCTTCCAGCCAGTCATGGTTGCTGAAGTAATGCTTTTTTTCTTCTTTTGGCACGCATAGGATTGTGCCCTCAGGCTGTTGCAGCAAAATCTAGAAAGTGTTGTGGCACCTTTGAGATGAACAAATTCGTAAGTCTTTCACGGTCGACTTCATCCGAGGCACGGAACATTATCTCAACTTGGGCAGATGCGTGCACGCCCTCTCATGGGGTATCCATTAGCCGTGCCTGAGGTCAGAGTGGGGTGAAACACAAGCCTGCTTGCCACCCAAGCGACCTATTTTCTATGGTGTAGCGGAGAAAGGGCCGGTGGCCGCTCCTCTGTATTCCAGTGAGCGGGCTCTCTAAGTTCTATCGGGATTTGCGGCGGCGACACGTTCGCGTGGGGGCGACGAAATGGTTTGTGCCAGACTTGCCTGGGATGCAGGAGCCTTCCAGCGCCGTCCGTCCAGCTGTCTGCCTGCGTTTTTAATAACGTTACACAGTATATTGGCTTGCAGGCTCTTTTTGTGTGGGTACACCGTAGCCCAGTGCTACAAATGCTAAGTTGCATCCCGCTCCTCGCGCCCCGGTTACAGTTGCCATGGCTTCTCGTAACACCCCCTCTTTACATTGCGTCCCTGCCGCCGCGCGCGAGCGCGGCTGACTCCGAGCGGGGCAGCCGCGGCTGCGCAAGGCGGTTCTGGCTGGCTCGAAGCAACAACAGCGCCGCGCCTGGTCACGTGCCACTGCCGAGCCCGCGCTTTCGCCCTCCCCCTCTGCGCGCTCTCTCTGCTCCGAATGTTGTGAATAAAATGCGCCGTTTGTTACACCCCGGCGGCGTGGGCGGTTCTTAAAGGGCCAGAGACCTGGGGCCTTGGGTACCCCTTTTACTTTTCTCGGCTCTGCTGGGAACGCGGGGATGATCGCAGCTGCTTGGGAGCGTAGAGGAAAACAAAGAAGCAACCGGAAACAGCCGCGGCAGCTGTGGGGGGCGCGGGCACAGGGCCCAGAGCGGGCGCCCACGAGCAGCAACAAGAAAGGGTTATTCAGACTGCAGTTGCACCCAGAGGAACGGAGCAGGTAGGTAGGTCCGGGCTGCGAGGCGGGGGGTGGGGGGACCGAGAAGAGGAGGGGCGTAATTGTATGCATTGAGCTGGCGATGCAGGGGTTGGGAGGAGAGGGAGGGTCGTGCGCCTAGGACAGCTGAGCTGCAAGCCTCCCGATGGATAAGGCCCTTCGAAACCACAATAAAGAGATACAGATCCAGACCCGCCGTTGCTCGGCCTGTATTGGGGCTGGGCGGGGAGGGGGGCACTTGGAAGATAGCTCTTGCAAACTGCGGCTTTGCTCTAACAGCAGTGCAGCCCGGGGCATTTCCTCTTCTTTAACTGTGGACTGCACCTGCAGCACGCGGGGTGTGCGGTTGATCATGTCTTCTCGCTTCCCCTGCTAATTGCGAGGTGCCGCCGCCTTCTCGGTTCCTTTTTATGTGTGAGCGCCCTAAGCTAGAACATCCCGAGAGGACCAACGTTTAAGGCGATCGTTGCTGCGAATAACGGGGTGCAGCTTGGCTTGTTGGAAGCTCGGGTAAGGCGAGCTCTTCCTGCTGACACGTGCTGCCCCTTCTCGATGCTGTTGATGCCTTTGTCTAGGGGCGATAAGGAGGGTCACCCCTTCTGCAGTTTTGGGGGACGGGGCTTCGCTGGCTCCGATTGCGAAGGGTAGATGTGTATGTGGATCTGTGTCTTCCCTTGCTTTTCCGTTTTGGCTGGAGCAGGCCGGAGGATGAGGCTGCCTCGGCTCTCTTTGTTATTGCTTTTGTTTCGCACGGAGCACATGGCCTGTGATCTTGCTGCTCTTAAAGTTACAGATCCCCAACCTTAGCACAAACGAATCGATTCTCGAGTCCTCGGGTCGGGGAAGCCCCCTCCGGGGCCTCAGTCCCTTGATACAGCAAAGGCAGAGCGGGGGAGGGGGAGAGAAAGTATGGTAACTCCTGGATGAAAAACAAACTGCCATTGCCTAGCCGGAAGAATTGCCCAGCTGTATGTTGTAGGCTCAGCCATAAGGTGCAGAATTTATTCTGAGCAGGAGTTGGCAGCTGTAATGACAATATTCCAAAGTGGAAAGTGGCCTGTGTGTTCTGTGCCCCCATTGTGGCTTTTGAGGATGATTTAGCACCTGTGTTCTAAGAACGAGTTCCTGAAGGTGAAATCAGGAATAAAAAGGAACAGTGGTGGGAAAGCGGCAAGGTCTGTAATTCTAAACTTGCCTGATTATGCCTAGGCCATCCTGGCAACTGCTCCCCCCCCCCCAGTATGTTAGATTGGGGCTCCCATCATCCCCACTCAGCCTAGCAAATGTGGGCTGAAAATGATGGAAATAATAACCCAACATGCCTGGAGGGTAGCATGCTCTGAAGGAGTGGTCTTGTGCATTTGTTGGGCAATTCTTAAAGCACAAACCAGCTTTCTGGTGCATAGTAGTGTTTTTTCTTTGAGGACCGTGTGGCCCGTGCTGTCTGTCTTCCCTACTAGAGGGTGTTAGAAGGGCATTGCTGCCATGGCCTCTGAGAGGCCAGTTTTGCAAGACCGTTCTTCCAAATATATTTGCCCCATTTTCAGTTTTGCTCCTTGAAGAGAGTGCTTAAAAAGCTCTGTCAAAACCCTCTTGGGACAGCCTCTCCTGGGCAGGGATGCAGGCACTAGTAAGACTGGATTACTGCAGTGTACTCCATGCAGGGCTGCCCTGGAAGCGAGACCTCGTGCAAGATGCAGCAGCCTGCATGCTTCCAGGAGTTGTCCCTTTTCAGCATGCCTCTCCTTCACCAGAGCAACAGCAGTTGCCTGCTTACTGCTAGGCTAGGTTTAAGGTTCTGGTACTAGTGTGCAAAGCCCTAAACAACTCGGGACCAGGATACCTGAGAGGCTGCCCTTTCCTCAACCAACCTGCCTAGTTGCTGAGGTGACTTTCTCCTGGTGGTGCCACATGGCCCCATGGCCCAAGTGGAGTGCACCAGGAAAAGACTACAGCGTGATCTCCGCTTCCCATGGAACAAAGCTCCCTGTCTTTGGAGGTTGGGCAGGCACTGACACTGTGTTGTTTTCAGTGTCTGCTGAAGACATATTTGTACCTGGAAAGCTTATTAGCCATGGTTTTAACGTAACCATGCTTTTAATGTGTTGTGTTTGCTTTTTCCTCTTTTAGCTGTTTACCACCCCAGAATAGAGTGGTTCACAAATACTGTAAAGAAAGAAAGATTGTCCTCAAAGTTTTGGGGTGCTGTTTCAATGAGCACTAAAATGGTGTTACAGACTGTTCTCAAGTCTGTCCCACCCCAGCATCTGTACAAATAAAAGGACTGAGTTGAAAATCTAGAAGGGCCCAAAAATGTACCAGGAAGTAAAAGACCATGCCTGGTTGGGTTTTGGAGTTTTAGCAAATAAAGTGGGAGGTGTCTGCAGGTGGCAGAGGAAAAGAATCTTAATTTGTTGGAAAAATTTGTTTGCAGCGTTACTATGTAAGACTGACCAATGTGAGGGGAAGCGGAAGCTGCCTAGTGATAGTAGTACTTGACACCATAGAATTCCAGACCTTGAACCATGGAAGTCCTGATTTTGCAGCGAAAATCTTTTTGCTGACTTACAGATAAATGATGCAAATGTTCACAGCTTTAGATGTACATCTATAAATATGTCAGTGAAACCATGTAGTTCAGCAACATTTCATTTAAACAGGGTTATGTCCCATTCTTACCCCAATTTACAATTAACCTCTCATTAGTAGTTAGGCTAAGCAGTTAGGTTGTTTAACCCACAGTTAGCCTATAGTGTCCAGGTTCAGATGTCAGGCAGCAAGACCCAATTGAGGTTTAATATTCAAAACGGCTGCAGAATTTATTATAAGGGTTATTATTTGTGTTTCCTGCTGAAAATAAGAAGACATTTTTGTAGTCAAATAGAGCAGCTGAGGAAATGATTGCTAGATGAGCATTAACATAGTGCCGCAGCTGGAAAAAAGTCGCATTTATCTTGGTTAGGGCCACTTGGAGATGTAGCTAGGCTAGAAGAGGTAATTGAAGAAGTCTTTAGTCTGTATCCTGATGTTTCAGTGCTTTGCTGTAATACTGTACATAATTGACCAGTGACATTATTGTGAAGAATCTCGCTAGTTGACATACTGTTGACTGTGTCTTTGTGGGTTATGCTGATCAGTGCAAATCTTGTTTTATTATGTCTGTTAACTCTATTTGAAATGCTGGAGCGCTTTTATAGCAATGGCCAGCCAAGGAATGTTTAGATGAATTGGTACATTGTTAGGCAGCAGAGAGTCATTAATGATGGAATCTAGGAGTTTGATTTGTGATCAGTAGCTGCAGTAGAGTTGATGGTTGTGATAATAAAAGTGTCTTCTCCCTACTTCTAGTCCTGCTGCACGGCATCAGCCAATAGGATGTTTTACAAACCAGGCATGGAGAATGACAGACAAGCAACTTCAAAAGCATAGTGTTATCTTTAGGATAACGATATCAGCCTTTTACCAAGTTTGATCTTTTTATTTTTAATTGCCTGAGTCTTCTCTTTCCCCTACTCCTCACTGTTCTGTCCATGCCTCCCCCAAATGGGGAGGGGCTGAACAGCAGCACCCATTCATGTGCCCCTTCACCATTTGCTTCTGAGCAAGGCATAAATATATGGAAACAACCTTTCTAGTGGTTTCCAATCCCCAAAACAGCTGTAAGCAGCTGTGTCTAGAGCAGGAGCAGGCAACTGTGGCCCTTCATATGGTTTGTCTGACAACTCCCATCGGCCCTAACTAGCACAGCCAATGGTGAGGGCTCATGGGAGTTGTAGGCCAAAACATCTGGGGGCTACAGACTGCCCATTCCCGGTCTAGAGTTTCCCTTTCCAAGCCTCCATTACAGGAGAAGAAAAGAGCTGCTGCTTACTTGCCCAAGGGCAGACCTTTGTGGTTTTTGCTGAAAGTACGATAAGGACTTCCTGATTAAAGCAAGCAGCAGCAACAGAAAAGGCAGTTCTAGCCCTCATGGGTGTTGAGAGGTGTTTGTCAAGGCAAAGGCTGTTATTTGTGTAAAATACTTAGAAATGAGTGGGAGAGTCTTCCTTGTAACGAGGGCCACCTTTTCACCCTGTAGAGCTTTCTAGCTTTATGATTCTCAGTCCTGACCTGAACAGTATTTTTCTTTGCTGTTTCTTACCACTATATGAGAAATGAAAGAAATTTCTGCTTTTTTTCTCTTTGTGATGCAATTTTGCACTTAGGACTGAGTATGCAACAACCTCATAATGTTGCCATTTCATATTGAATTAAGTTGTCGTTTGGTGTATCAGTCTGGATAATAATCAAATAACATATTTGCATAACTGATTCCATTTGTACTGAAGTTTGAAGGATTTGTCTTTACATGGTCTTGCATTTTAATTTTTAATTTTCATTTAGCTAAGGTCTCTCTTCATAGGATTCAAAAGAGAATCGGGGCAAAGGTCTCAGTCATATACTGCTGATATATGCTTATTTAAATGGAAAGTTTAGCTTCTTGCTGATCATTTCTGAACAGGAACAACCTATTTGGGTTACAACTGATTTAGCATAGTACGAAAAAGTTGGTGCATGTGTCTGCTGTGTGTACATCAAGCTTCTAAGATAACAATTTGTTTGGCTGCTTGTGGCAAGTGTATCCAGTGTGAACTCTAGTTAGACTAGAGCTGATGTAAATTAGAATAACATTAAATACAAACCAGAATTTTCTGCACATAGAAGTTCTGCACACTTCTATTTTGCACATAGAAGCAATGTGTTTTTCTGAATGCATACATGAAAAGGTGTGAGTGTAGATACGGGCATCTAAAACCACTGAACATCCAAGAGAATGTTAGCAGGGTCATAATTAACATGGCTTAGTCAAGTGATAATCACGATGCTCACAATATGCATATCAAGGTAAGGTGGAATTTGTCTTAGGAAGGTGAAAAGTTTATTGACTGAAGTCGTTAATCCCATGCTCTTTCTCCTCTCTTTTATAACCGTCCCGGGCCTTGCATGTTGCAGATGCACATCCT